TGCTTGCTTGTGTATTTTTGTTTTAACTCTCCCTTTGCTAAAAAATGCTTTATTTTCTTGGGAGAAGATTTGTTTTTGGGAGAAGAAACATGTAAGTTACTGAGCTGAAGCCCCCTTCCCCCTTTTTTGGCATTTGCAAATTGGGTGGTTCTCAGCTCATTGGGATGTGTTTAAACCAGGGGCTTCCCTCTTCACTCCTTTTTAAGAAATTACCTGTCCCCAAAGGTGTCTATACCTGCGAAACAAAATGCCCATTCTCTGTTTGGAGCACTGTCAGCGAGTACCCTGTGATCCTTCTCTACTGATCAGCAGTCTTCACTGCAAGGAAAAGGCTTTCAAATATTAAGAAGGTAGTGATGTGAAAGGTGGGTTGTCATGTCCATCCACATCAGCCATGGTGGCAACAAAAAGCAGGTGGAAAATGATTTTAATCTGTTGGCTTAGTTCAGGGCAGCTTCAGTTCGAGGAGAAAGAAATACAAAGTTGGCCTCTAAGATTTGCCTCTGGATTAGTTGACTTGCTGCAAACCAGAGGGAAGAAGGCAGGCCTGATAATGAAAAGAACCTCGTCCTACAACCTTGTGCCAGAACCTGGCTTTTTTTTTTTTTTTTTTTAATTCCCACTCTTCTAGGACAATCTGCTTGCTGTTCAGTTGTCACACACCAGATTCTTTAAGGAGGTAAAAACAGAAACAAACGAGACCTAGTTTTCTTTTTAACTTGATATAAAAGATACCCTGGGGGCGCCTGGGTGGCTCAGTCGTCGTTAAGCATCTGCCTTCAGCTCAGGTCATGATTCCAGGGTCCTGGGATCGAGCCCCACATCGGGCTCTCTGCTCAGCAGGAGGCCTGTTTCTCCCTCTCCCACTCCCCCTCCTTGTGTTCCCTCTCTCTCGCTGTGTCTCTCTCTGTCAAATAAATAAAATCTTAAAAAAAAAAAAAAAAAGGTTCCTGAAGGCAGGTCACCAGAACTGTTCTTTCTGGTTTTGTTTATAAATTTTTGTGAGAGCATTAGCAACTGTTTATTTGTCCTTATTCATGAGATGGCATGTGTGTGCGTGAGCATAAGAAAGGGAGAGACAGAGCCACAGAGGAAAAGAAAGGGCAAGCAAGCGAAAGCTTGATCCAAACTCTGGAATATCCTGGATAGCTGAGCTCTGAAGCTGTTTCGTGGAAAGGGAGGTAATTCGTAGACTTCTCTGAGGCAGAGTTAAATCTTGCTTCAGGAGAGGTAGGCCAGGGTCGGAGTGAACTCGGTTATTTAGGTGGTAGAGTTGTGAATTTTGGCATTTCATACCGGATTGCTAGCTTTCATGCGAGAGTTTATTTTACATGCGGTAAGTAACTGTCACTTTAGCTCAGTTCAACGGATTTTATTTTCACTCTTGTGTGTGCACATTTTATGCCTGGCATTTATTTACTCTCTCCTCTTAGTCTGGGGCAGCACAAATGGAAAAGCGTTCAGTAAATGTGGTGTGAATGCATTTTTCTCTTCTTTTTCCGTATTCACCATTTAGACCCTTGAAAGAAAGAAAGAATCCTGTCTGGCTTTGAAACTGCATTTCTCCTGATATAATAGGCCAGTGATTGTCCCGTCACTACCTTTCCTCCCCTTGCCCTGCCCTTTTTATTTTTGATCTTCTCAGAATCCTTTGTTTATTTGGCTCCATTCATGGCCTACTTTTTCTTCCTTTTCTCACATACCTTCCCCCAGATCCAAAGGCCTTTGCTCTATTTATTTGACAGCTTTCTTGGAGATGGGGGAAAAAAAAAAAGAAAGAAACAAGCCCAACAACCTAGGCCCTCTGGTAAGACCTGGGGGTGGTGGTGGGGGGGGCAGTTTCCTGCTGCCACCTTCTTGTTTCCATGCACCGCAGTGCAAACACCCACCACCCTCAGCTCTTCTCTCTCTACGTGCTCTCCCTCGTGACCCCCAGAGCCCTACTCATTTGTCGCCACACAGTCAAGGTTCTACTTGCTTTTGGGCCACACACTAGTCTGTGGCCCCGGGGAGATGGTGTCTGCTGGCTGGGCCTCTGTTCCCTCCTTCATTCCTCCTCTTCATTTCTCAGTCGACAAAGACACCTGCGCGTGTGGAGCTCAGCCCCCAAGGTGAAAACCGTGACGCACAAAATAGACTTCGGTCCTGCCCACTGCTATGAGGTGGAGCGGAGACGGTCCATCTTGCACGGCATGTTGTAGAACTGAGCCAGGGGATGGTGCCTTGACAAGCACGTACCTGGGTGCTCAGGAAATGTCGGCTTCCCTCGCTATAATCGCAGACAGACTGGCACAGTCCAGACCTCCCTTTGGAAGTTGTTTTTATCCCAGTCAGGACCTTTCACTTGTATTTCTGGCTCTTACCTGAAACCCACTCTTTTCTGTTTTAAACAGATCTCCCCCCCCACCACCCCCCATCCAACCTCCTTTCCCATTTTTCCCTTTTCTGTCAAAAGCCTGACCATTTCTCCTGTCATCTGGGTTTGAAAGCTGGCGAGGGGGAGGGGCCTTCCATTTTTGTGGGACAAAGCGTGCCTTTTCACTCCTTTCTTTCATGCCCTATATCTGGTATGTAGTCCTGAGGATTCTTCTTTTGCTGAGCTCTTTAGTTCTTCCCCTCTTTTTTGTTGAATAGGTGATTATCTCCATTCTAGTCTAAACCTTCATTACCTCAAGGATAGTGTCTGGCTCCAGGCTTCTCGTCCTGTGTCAGTGCGGGCAGAAGGAAGCAGTGACCTCCTTCAGCTAGTTGTATGAATGTAGCTATTTATGTGAGTGTTTGTAACCACAGGGTCCAACAAACTCTGGAATAACCAGAGATTCAGAAAGTTTTGTCTTTAACAACTGAACCAGTTCATTTAGTGCAACTGTGCTTATTTTATTTTAGTTTGTTTTTTTACTGACAGGTAGCTTCTCAGATACACATTATTTATAGTTTTCTTAGTAGGAGCTTCCAGAAAGTGTGAGGGTATGTAGGTGTTTGACTTACGGGTATAAATTATTATCTGCATCTTATCGTGAATACATGGTTATAAACGAGGTTGTCATTTGGTCTTTTGAATGTGAAGTTTCTTTCAGTTGTGATTTAAACACCTGTATTGCCACCAGCCCGTTTCTTTTTCTCACCAAAGCAGAGGTAAACACGTTCTACTAAATAGAATGCAATAGGAAAAAATGAACTGATCCTTTTAAAGTTTAGGGTGGTGCCAACTTGAAGTCTTATTGTTCTTTTTTTTTTTTTTTTAAGATTTTATTTATTTATTTGAGAGAGAATGAGATAGAGAGCATGAGAGGGGGGAGGGTCAGAGGGAGAAGCAGACTCCCTGCCGAGCAGGGAGCCCGATGCGGGACTTGATCCCGGGACTCCAGGATCATGACCTGAGCCGAAGGCAGTCGCCCAACCAACTGAGCCACCCAGGCGCCCCGAAGTCGTATTATTCTTTACGTAGGCTTGGTTCATTTATTAAACAACAAAAATACTCACTATCTGATTCTTTACGGAAAAGAAATTATTTTGAGTCTGTAGCATCATTGCCTTCCTGAAGTGTATATTTTAGCAGGAAAGACAAGTAATAAACAAGGGAACACATGAACAAGAGGATTTTTAGATTGTGGTAATCAGTAGAAAGGAAATAAGTAGGATATGAGAATGACTGGAGGTTGGACAGGGGGTGGGGTTGAGGTGGGATTCTTTGAAAAGGTGACTTCGAGATTAGACCTGAGCGATGAGTATGAACAGCCTGGGGGGAAGAGCTGGGCCTCCTGACCTCTCACCCCCTAGTTCCACTTCCCTCTTCACCTCCAAATGCCTGCTTGTCTACAGGGTCAGCGAGATGTTGGTTCCCAGGTAGCCTTCTAGCATGTTCTCTCGGGTTACCTATACCAGAGCCTATCACATGGAATTGCCTGTTGCTTTCATTTTCCCCCACTAGACTTGAACTCTTTGAGGGTGAGGACATACGCTTGGCAATCATGTAACTCTAGCATTTACATCATAAACTAGGTTTAACAGTTAAATAAATCTGTAAGTTCAAAATTAGATTACATCAAATAGGTTGTGAAAGTCATGGGGTTCCTCTACAAAACATAGTCTTATGTTTAAAGTCTCTTATTTATCTTTTTAAATACACATTCTTCCCTCCCCATCCTCTCTACTTCAAGCACTCTTCCCCTTTTATTTCTAAAACAGTTCTTGCCCCGCTGCAAAATCTCCCCACTTCCCCATCTTACTTAAAGATATCGTCATCCATCCAGTTGGTCAAGCCAAAACCTGGGAAGTATCATTGATTCTTTTCATTCCTTCACCCTTGCTTATCATACCCAATCCTTCAACACCTATGCCTTTAAAACCAGTTCTGTTCTCCCTGTCTTTGCTACCATCCCCAGCCCAGGCGAGCTCTATCCTCCACCCAGACCAGCGCAGCAATGTACTGACTGATCTTTCTGCGTCCCCTCCCATCTTCTGTATGTCCATTATTCATGAAAAGCCAACCAGCTCTTTCCAGACTTCAAAAAAAAAAAAAAAAAAGACCATGTCAGTCCGTCCACATAAACACTTCAGTGGCTGCCCATTGAGCTTAGAATAAAAATTGAACTAAAAAATCTGAACTCACAGCCCCGGATGAATTGGCCACTGTCTCCTCAACCTCATCTCTTCATTGCTCTCAGCTTCTAGCTGCTCCAGTCTCCCCCGCCTTCTTCGTAGGACCTTTTATTTTCTGTTGCCTGCTGCATTGTTAGATGGAACTCGGTGTTAATCTCATCAACTCTGTGAATATGTAGACCGGTATAGTGGCAAGTTAGCCCAGCCACAGTGAAATCCCCACCCCGGCATCATTCCCATTCCCGATTTTTCATTATCCTGTGCATGGTACCAAAAGTTTATGGTAACAGGCAACTGACTTCATGGTAGCTCTAGTTAAAGGCCTTGGAGAAGGAACTGGACAACCTCATTGCCTTCTACTGGTATTAACCGTTCTTTTTTTCTCTTTTTCCATGCAGAATATGAGTTGGAAGTAAAGAGGGTGCAAGACATTCTTTCAGGAATAGAGAAACCACAGGTATGTCTTCTGGATTTCTCAGCATAAATGACACATTCTTAAGCATTTCAAGTGTGCTTTTCTTTCACCACATAGTAGGTAAACAAAAGGGCCCCTTCCTATTGCTGGTTATTTATAAACTATGAAACAGTGTTGGTATTAATGGAGCATGAAAATATAGAACAGCAGTCTTTCTATTCAGTCATAATCCACCAAAATGTCTTCTCTATTTAGATATTCTGAATGCAATTAGGTATTCTTCCCTACGTCCAAGGATACATATCCTCCCCCTCACACCCTCCCCACCACAGGTCCACAGAAGAATTTTCTTTTGGTGATTTCCTTTAACCCGTGTAAATGCAGTAATAATAATTTTTGAAAACCTCGGTGATTCCAACTATTTTTCCAGGTAAATTTCAAAAAGGTATTCAAATATTAGCTGAGAAAAGTAAGTCCAAAATATTGAGTGTAATGGCAAAAAGAAAAATTGGTAGGAATGATGATATTGTGAGGTTTTAAGTTTGACTTTGCCAAATGCTTTGAAATTCAAGTGAAAAATTCAAAATGTTGACTCAGCCTTTCATCTGAGGTGAGAGAGCCAAAGTTCTTTGGCTGTTTTCTGGCCCAGTTGGGAAACCTTGATCCTTCATGTGTTTCAGATACTGAGGCTTTTTAACAGAAGAGTTCACACATGCCTCAGGGTACACAGTTAAGTTTGACTAACCCTAAAAGCGTGAGGAATGTTGGAGGACGGGGCCAGCAGGGAACTTGCAGAGGAGTGGGGCATTGGTGTTGGGTGGTGGAGTCTGTCCTTACTCTGGTAAGGAGCAGGTAGCCATTGTGAGTTTTTGAGCAGAGAAGTTCCATAGTCAGGGCTATACTTTCAAGCTGATCAACCAGTTGACAGATGCACTGGTTTGAGAAGAGGATGAGCCCAGGAAGGCAGGCGTCAGGAATCTGTTACTGTAGTGTGGGTAGAGGCTGTAGGAGGCAGAATTCGGGTGGCGGCCCCGGGCATGGCAAGGAGAGGATGGATACTAGAGCCGTGGAGAGATGTCAGTAAGGTGTTAGAACGTGTCAGATATCTGGTGTCACAGATAGCTGGGCTCTCAGGCTTAGATGCCTCCACTGAGGAGTTGCTTCCTCTGAGAGTCTCCCTGGATGGCTGTCCCTGCCCATTAAGTAGGATTCTCCACAGTACTTAGAACCATTGTTACTCCCCCAGCCTCACTGTGCTCTGCGTGTAGGTATGTCATACACTGTACGCCATTTACTTGTTGCTGGGTCTGTCCCGGTAATCTGTGAGCTCCTCTAGAATGGGCTCTGTGTCCTTTGTATATCTTCAGTGCAATTTTTAGACTTACTGAGTTTGTTTCACTAGCAGGGCACCCAGAGAGGTAAACCCAGTGGGCAGTCGTGAGTGTCTGGAAGGTCAGTGCTGTGGAGAGAAGGGGGAATGAGACCTCGATCAGGAGATCACATCGCATGGAGTTACGGTTCAAGAGAGGAGTGGCTGATAGCTTTGGGGCTGGCGGGGGGGCGGGGTTGGAGTGGGGGTGGAGCATGGAGAGAGGTTAGAAAAGCTTGGGGGACAAAATCATGGGAGAAGCTTACATTTGTGGTACAGCAGAATGAAGAAAACTCCATGAGGAAGACAGGAGTCAGGATCAGAGTGCAAAGGCAGAGCAACTGGTTAGTTGACAGTCTCAGATCCAGTCACAAAACTTCATAGTCCAGTCTTGCTCTTGTGAACACACACCATGTTTGTCTTGAGTTATTCCTAGTCGTTTCTTGACTGCAGAAGTGACGGAGTTTGTGTTTATTAGGATTATGTGGCTCTAGCAAGATAAGAGCACTATTTAAATGCATTAGTCCTTTCCTTGATTCAGCATTTATTAAGCACTTAACTCTGTGCTTCTTAGAGCAAGATCAATAGACCAGCTTATATGTAAACAGATATGGCATGAGCTGTAACATTGATAAGATTGTCATCTGAGTGGTCAGAAAGTCCAAAATGGTCTCACTAGGCTAAAGTCAAGGTATTGGCAGGGCTACGTTTTTTTCTGGAGGCTCTGGGGTGAATCTGTTTCCTTATCTTTTCCAGCTGCTTCTAGAGTTTGCCTGCATCCCTTGGCTTGTGGCCCCTTCCATCCTCCTGTCTCCCTCTCTGACTTTCCTGCCTCCTCCTTTCACTTAGAAGAACGCTTGCTATTACACTGAGCCCACCCGAATAACCCAGGATAGTCTCTGTCTCACAGGATCCTTAAGTTAATCACATCTGCAGAGTCCCTTTTACCTGGCAGGGCAAAATCTTCATAGGCTCCAGGGATTAGGATGTGGACCTATTTTGGGCGTCATTATTTCCCCTCTGGTCCCCACATAAATCTTGTCTGCCTGGTGATCGCCCCCTTGCCCTTCCCAGCCCAGTTAGTCGTCTTACACATTTTTTTTCCTCCGTCCCCTCCTCTCCCTCCCTGCCTCTCCTCCCCTGTCTCTGTCTGAAGTTCCTATTCATGATTGTGTCTTATTTATCTTTGTGCCTGATACCTAGCACTGTCCTTGGCACATCATGAACCCTTAACCTATATTTGCTGAATAAATGTGGGGCCGACTGCAGTGGCTGCAGCTAGGTTCTGGCAAGGGAGACAAATGCCTCAAGGCCTGCCGGCATCAGATGCGGCTCGGCCTGCACAGTGGAGTGTGGGGACAGCCGGTGCCAGAGCTCGAGGTGACAGCATGGAAGGGAAGGACCCCTGCTGTGCAGTCTGGCCCTCTGGGCTGTTAACTGTCTCTGTGATCTTGGGTAAGTGACATAAGCTCCCTGAGCCTCGGTTTCCTCACCTTGGAAAGGTAGGAGAATAAATACCGCACGGGACTCTCAGAAGTAAATGATCGTCAGTGTGTAGAGGACTTGGGATGGAGTGTGTCCCGGTGGCGTAAAGCGCGTCATTATGCCGAAGTGAAACTCCCTGCCCCACTGTGCAATGGCAGGGGGTGGCCCGCTGCTTTCCAGGCAAGATGCGGTTGGCACTTGGTGAATTTGCTTTTTCCTTCCACCACGTCAGATAACCCCTCTCAGTAAGAGGCACATATTTTTCTTTGAGATTCTGTAGATGATTTGTTTTGGGTGTAGAAACAATATTTAGGATTTGTCGATTCTAGCCGTCTTTCTAGGACTTAGGACTCCCTGAATTAAGCAAGTCATTGGCTCTTCAGAAACTCAGATACTATAGAGACCCACATAACTTAGCCATTGAGTAAAAACAGGGTACGCGTTGACGAGGTAATTTGTCCTGAGACTAAGAATTAGGTGCCTTGGGATGCGCAGTCCTAGCCACTGCTATGTCACAGAAACAAGGTTGCTGTTATTCTACGTTTAGGAAGAAACCTCTATCAGTACGTGCCACCTCCAACCCAGCAAGGTTTAATCAGCTCTGATGGTGGTGCTAGATGTTGTCCCCCACATCCTGCTGGGCTGTTTATTTTCAGGGTGCAAATAAATGTAAGCTGCATTGTTTCCATCCAGTAATGTTTAGCTTGTGGAAACAATTGATTTGTCAGTTCCAGAAGTGAGTAAACTGACCTAAGAGAAATAACTGTCCCTCCAAGAAGCCATTCCTTGAAAAAATAAACAACACTATATCTGAAAAGATTTGAGGTTCTTAGCACTTACGGAATGATAGAAACAGATGATTGTGAAATATAGATTTGAGTGTCTTTTTTTTTTGAATAATGATCTCTGACCTCTTCCTTTTAAATTTTCCATTGTGTTGTTATTTTTCATGATGGTACTTTTGAAGTGAAGCCAATATTTCCATGGTGATATTTCCTTAACGTACTCCCTAATTGGATCTGCAGGCCTCCCACATAGTTAACTCCAAAGTCCTGACCAAATTTAGAAGCTACTAACTTAACATAGAAATATTTTACATGGGAGGAATAATTGAGTAACTTTATGAGAATAAATGGTATTTTTTTTTTTTTTTTATTATTTGAGAGAGAGAGAATGAGAGAGAGCATGAGAGGCAGGAGGGTCAGAGGGAGAAGCAGACTCCCTGCTGAGCAGGGAGCCCGATGTGGGACTCGATCCCGGGACTCCAGGATCATGACCTGAGCCGAAGGCAGTCGCTTAACCAACTGAGCCACCCAGGCGCCCGAGAATAAATGGTATTTTTGATTCAGATAATATCATTTGTATATGATATAATCTAAGAATTAAGATAGTAAAATTTTACAGAAAAATATTAAAATAACTGAACAGGAGAGAAAGCGGGGGGGACAAAGAGAAAGAGAGCTAAAGACTATTTATCAAATAGCTACCAGATCATGCAGTCTTACTTCCTAATGTGTATGCACATATATATATGCTTTTACCTAGCAGTTGCCCTCGAGTTGGAGTCTGCATTTAATAAACACATAGACAACAACAATTTCTAATCAGTATGTGATTATTTAGAAATAAATGGTGGTTTTGTGAATCCTTCTAGATCCTTCAAAGCAGTTTAATTTCTATGCAGGCTTGCACTGGTAACCTCCACAACAGACCCTTTTACATCTCTGGTGCCAAAGCAAGTGTCAACTTGGGTCTTGTCCAATAATTTTGTAGCTAGAAATCACCACTTTTATCATCATCATGAAGGAGATTGACTTCAGTTTGCGGTAGAATAATTAAACGTCAGGAAGTCAGTTTTATGGCTTCTACACTTCTTTTTTTGGATGTCAGCCATGACAACCCTTGTGATAGATTAGCTGCCCCAGTTTAGTTTGGTGGTCCCCGCAGGTGAGAAATCTTCCCCCCAGAAAGGTGAAATGTGTGAGAAGGCTTTCGCCTTGAAGGAGGCCTGAACCAGCCAGAGTTCTAGAGCTCGGATCTCTCGTTAGGGTTATCACCTCCCTGGACACTTGGAGGATGCATCTGGTGCTGAGGATTCCCCTTTATGTGAGGTTCTCTTGAAAGGCACCGGAGAATCGCCCGGCATCATCCTTGAAATGGAAGTGAGTTCCAAGTTTTGCCAGAGACAGAGCACTCTTTCTCTCAGGATTCCAGTGCTTAAAGAAAGGAGACCAGAGGCCCTGGAGTCTGTGAAAAGGAGGGAGCAGGAGCACAGCAAGGAGTGTTCCATTGGTTCCAGCGTAGTGCTAGTCATCTAGGTGGCATGTCTCTTAGCTCTAAGAAAGAATTCCCAGAAGCCACGGTTGCTGTTCTCTGAAAATGATGGGGCGTTCTCAGAGTGCGCTTCCGAAAGCCTGGCCCATCGGAAGAGCGCCTATCACAGAGCTCTGCGTTCAGTGGACCCTTTGCCGCCTTCAGGGCTTGCTCAGGGAATCTGGAGAAGGGGGAGCATTGTGTTAGTCAATGCTTCAAGTGCTGTACATCACTATTCCGTTAATAATTCAACCAAGTGTACATTCTTAATAGCTGATGAAAAAGATTTTAAAGGGATGTGAGTTTATGGATCCTTGTTCAGTATCTAAAGCGCTAGCGTTTGCCAAGCTGTTTTGAAACGTGATGTTATTTCACACCACCATTCATCAAATCGGTGTTACTCCACACTGTGTTCTTGGAACTGTGCCCAGTAGCCATTTGTCACCTCGGCTGCATGATTTTCTACCTAATCAGCCTTCTTTTTAATGTAAACGAAACTCTTCGTAGCAAAATATCTGCTAGGAGATAGTCTCTCACGCATCCTTCTCTTTCCACCGGGTTGGTGCTCTTTGAGGCAGAGGTCCTAGGTTAGAAAGTAACAAAGTCAAAAGCTAAGTTATAGGGGTGTGAGAGGGAATGGTATCCTGAAGGCGTGTTACAGGGCAGGAGGGTATAGGGCAAGAGGAGATGCTAGTCTGGAGCCATAGCAACAAGAGTGGAGTTTGATTCTGTAACAATATCTCAGATTTTTTAAAGAGGTGTGTAATGCTGGTCTACCATCCACTGTGGCGCCTGTATCAGAAACTCAGACTATCTTACTCCCTTTGGTTTTTGTTTTTCATTCAACAAACATTTACTAAGCCACCACTACTCACAGTTGACTAGGACTTGGGTCCTGTCCTTAGGGAGTCCCACAGTCCGGTGGGAAAGGGAGACAAATGCCATAAACATGATTTGCGATAGTAAAGATAATAGCAAGTTGCTGTAGAACAGAGGGATGATGATAGGTGACACACTTATCTTTCAGGGAAGGTTACTTGGGGATAGTGAGGCCCGGCTGGGGTCGTGAATGATGAGTAGGAGTTTGACTAAAGAATTGGTTAAATACATCATGAGGCTATGTCTATACGGAGCAGAAATGATATGGAGGGATCTCTGCGAAAAATGGAATGAATGACAGACTGGAAAGGGAGATTCGGTACTCATATTCCATGTTACTCATGTTTTTAAATTATTTTGTGTTAAATTTTAATGCTCTGTATAGATCAGATAGTGACAAAAATGGAAGGAAAAAGGAAACTGAATAATTTACATATCTCTATCCGCAAACTAATAATAATCTACCACCAAACAGTCTTTATGAACATGAAGCTTTAGCATCTATACTAACTCTTGATTTTAAATATTTTATTCAGACCGGTATCAGAGAGCAGCAAAATAACCTTTAGAAACTTAGAAAGAACATCAAGTTCTTTTGACTTATTTTAAAGAATTAGACTATGCGTGAGGTTGGGTTTCTCTGGAAACAAGACTCTAAAACAAAGATGGGAGTGCAAATAGTGTATTTGGGAAGGCGGGGGTGCCCCAGGAAGCACCAGTTAGAGCAAGCACCTGGGATGGAAGGGCGGGAAGCCCACGGCAGGGTCTCTTACTGAGCAGCTTACAGCTGGAGGTGACTGGAGCCCCATCCTGCTGAGAACGGCATGTGGGTGGAGTGCAGCATGCCTCAGTGTGGTCCTAAGTAAGGGAAGAAAGTTGGGGTGTTCAAAGGTACCAGAGTTCTCTGTTCAAATGAAGTCTTACACAGAGGCTACACCAAAAAGAAAAAAGAAAAACAGAGCTGAGAAGAGGTAAAACATCATCTCAGCACCCATTTCAGCCTGGGCCTGGGTCCTCCTCCCCCATCGCTGGGTTCTCCTGGGAACTGAGGTCTTCAAGGAGCCTGGTTTGAGAGGTACTGGCTTTGAAGGCTGGGAGGCCACCAGAAAGTACCTGCAGATGTGGTTCCTTCCACGTAATGTGATGGCCATCACTGAGATCATGAGAGTCTCACATTCAACTTTTTACCTGTAAAAAAACATTCCCACACAAGGCTGACGATTTTACTTTCTGGAGGATCGAATGTGAATTATGTTATAAGGACAGGTGTTTCGGGAGCTATTGTGGACGTCGGGGCCTGGACAAGAGAGTACAAGAGATGGTTTTTGCGTCGTAATTAAAACTGTGTACCTTACATTGACTCCCGAGCCCGTCTTGGGCCACTACTCATCATCACAAAAATGTTACTGCAAGATGTAGTATCTGATGTATATAAAAATGGATTTGGATAATTTTGTCTGTGTTTGTTTTTCCTCAGGTTTCTAATATTCAGGCAAGAGCGGTTGTGCTGTCCTGGGCTCCCCCTGTTGGACTTTCATGTGGACCCCACAGCGGTCTTTCTTTCCCCTACAGCTATGAGGTCGCCTTATCCGACAAAGGACGGGACGGAAAGTACAAGATAATTTACAGGTAGCCTGTATCTCCATGTGTTTTCTCCGCTGCCGCACAGTGAAATTGGAGTCATTAAGGAAAATCAGAAACAGGAAAAATTTAGAGGCCTTGCAAACTTTGCTTTAAATAGTTCATTTTAAGAATTAGTGATAATTGCAAGAGTTATTTTTGTCCAGAGTAATTACCAATCAGAAATGACTTTTGTAGAGCTATTTGGTGTTGATGAGCTATCACTTGGTTATGTCAGCTTGTCAGTATAGTACTAAAGAAAAATTTCCATTAACACCTATCGGGTAAAAAGTGAGCGTGACTTTGAGATTTTTTATATGTCAGTCATGCACTTACATGATTGATTACCTCTTTTTAGACCCAGACCATTTTCTAGTCTGGTTTTTTGAAATTCTACATTATGGTTTCCTTCCATTTCATTCTAATTCTTACCGTCCACCAGAGTTTTCTAGCCTGTAGTAAAGATTCCTTGAAAGCATTTCAGCCCAAGGCTTTCTTTTTTTTTTTTTTTTTTAAGATTTTATTTATTTATTTGCGAGAGAGAGAATGAGAGACCGAGAGCACGAGAGGGAGGAGGGTCAGAGGGAGAAGCAGACTCCCCGCTGAGCTGGGAGCCCGATGCGGGACTCGATCCCGGGACTCCAGGATCATGACCTGAGCCGAAGGCAGTCGCTTAACCGACTGAGCCACCCAGGCGCCCCAGCCCAAGGCTTTCTTAAATAAGTTTAGTCCACAAGGTAAGGGATTGTCCCACACCACAGAAACCAGGTCACACTGGCTCACTCCTGGGTGAGGACACTGCGGTGATTCCCCATTTTACTTAGAATAAAATCCTAACTCCTTACTCCAGCTCCCAACCATTTGGTTCTATTCGAGAAGTCCAAATTGGCAAAGAAACACAGGGCACCATTTGCCCCAGCCGCTCCAAGAAACAGTGTCTGTCGGGGCAGGATGACTGCTGGTGGTAGAAGCTAACCTCGTGCGCCCAGAGGGGCTAGGCCGATGACAGAAGTGAGGAAAGGAGGAAGGTTGGGGGTGAGGTGTACAGGAGCACTCCTGTCTTCCTCTGAAAGCGGCAACCGCCACTCACCTAAAATAGGTTGTTGCCATCAGGGAATGCAGGCGTAGAGGTGCCGATGTCTTTGGATTTTGTTCTGTTTTGTTTTTTTCCAAGAAATACTGGAAATCTGAATTGTTATGTAAGCCTTCCTAACGTCAAACTCATTCAGCAAATTCAAAGACACGTTAAGGGTACAGTGCAGGTCAAACAAGAACTGTAGGCACCGTGTGGACGCTGGCTTACAGTTTGCAACTTTAAAAGAGTATTTTGTTTGAAATAATTTCCAACTTATAAAATGTTGCAGAAATATTTTTTTTTATTCTTATGTTAATCCCCATACATTACATCATTAGTTTTTAAAATGTTGCAGAAATAAAGAGATCAAGGAAGTGACCCAGATTTCGCCTATTAGTTACCTTTTTCTCCTCTTTGGTTTACTATTGGAGTTATTCTGTCTCTCTTATTTTTATCTCCTCCCAACCTGTGTTTTTTCCCACTAGTTGTCTATGGCATGGCCTTTTACTGCTAAATACTTCAGTATACTTCCCAGGAATAAGGGTATTTTCTTACATAGCCGCAGTGCAGTTACCAGCTTCATGAATGTACATTGATAAAATACTTTGATGTAGTCACCGTCCACATTCCAGGTTTATCAGTTCATTAAATACTATCTTAGAGCATTTTTCTCCCCCTCTAGGACAGAATCCTGTCCAGGGTCAGATATTACAGTTCGTGGACATATGTCTTTCACCTGTAATTTGGAACACTAACACATATTTGTCTTTTGTGGCCCTGACGTTTTTTGAGGAATACAGTCAGATCCCCACCCCTCACCTTTTAAAAACTTTAATGGAACATTCCTTATTTTATGTTGGCCATTGCCTCATGATTAAGCTGAGTTGCATTTGCAACTTCTGATCATATAAGTGGTTTTGTTTTATGTAAGAGAGAATTGATTTGTATGTGTATATATCGGAGAGCTATTAGTATGGATATGTGAGGGAAGCACACTGAGATTTCTTCAAGAGAGTTGAGAAGTTGAAGCATTTGGGGTTCCTGCCAAGGTGAATCTGAGAGCTACCTTCAGTTGACAGCTGGTATAGTTATTTTACACTTATATTTATCTCTCTATTTAATTTCCTTGCTTATTTGTTTTTATGTATTTACTTTGAAGAACTGATAAGACCTTTTGAAACTTCATTAGTAAGTTAATCTTGCCATTTTTCCGATCTAGGATGACATCATTCAAAAGAATCTAATTTTCTAGTCCAGAAGGGTAATAATACCAGATAGGCAAGTTTATTTCTGGCTTATGGTGGAACCACACACAGGAGTTCTGGAATCATTGCCCTACATGACTATGAGACCCAAATCCCAAACCTGTCTTTACTGTTGAAACTGGTATCATTGACTAATAGATGATTTTTCTTTGCAGTGGAGAAGAATTAGAATGTAACCTGAAAGATCTCAGACCAGCGACTGATTATCATGTGAGGTGAGTTAGGATCTGAGACCTGACCTATGTTGGATAATTCAGATTGCTGAAAGAAATCATGTGCTCCTTTTCAAAAGTTTTTGGGTAAGGGCACTTGCCTAACCAAAAGTTGTAATACCTTAGCTCATTGGCCACGCATTAGTGCTGTGCACTTGAGAGCATAGTGATTGGGGAGTACACAGTAAGGCTTCTGGTCATAGAAAAACAGATGATACACTGAACTGAATTTTTAAAATGATTTTTAAAATAACTTTCATAGGGATTCCTGGGTGGCTCAGTCGGTTAAGTGTCTGCCTTCAGCTCAGGTCATGATCCTGGGGTTCCGGGATCGAGTCCTGCATCAGGCTCCCTGCTCAATGGGGAGCCTGCTTCTCCCTCTGCTTGTTGCTCTCTCTCTCTTGCTCTCTGACAAATAAATAAATAAAATAT